ATTTAGTTTTCAGAACAGAGAATTCTAACAGAACTTCTACTTTTGATTTTCTTGCCAATGTTCACCTTTGCCCTATGATATTGCTTTTGCTAACTCACTCTTGACAAGATTATTACCAAGCCAGCTATAAAACTGTTTAACCCGGTGTTTCAGTTACTTTCATTTTCTTACCAGTGTTACTGTAATTTACTATAGGAAGGATACGATTGTACTGGAGGAGATGCAGAGGAGTTTGTAGACTTGCTCACTGAGCGTATTTGTTTGCTAGGTAACATCGTCAGTGTGCCTCTGGTGAAGCGTTGGTGTTCTGTCTTGCACTATCTAAATAAGCTACACATTTCAGCACTTTAGCTTAGACTTGATTCATAATTCTTTGTAATGTTTCTGGGACATTTTTAAACTTATATGACATGATTTGACATTGATACAACCCATTTTGTCTAAGAAAGGGGGATACCTCCTCAGCTTTTGATATTAATGGAACCTGCCAGTATTCCTTCTGTAGATCATTAAAAAAAATGAAGGACTGCCAACCCTATCAATACATCCTTTGAACTAGGGAATTGGCTATGAATCTCCTTGCACTGTTGCATTTGCTTTCCTGTAATCTATGCATAACCTAGTTGACTCATCTGGTTTAAGAAATAATACCACTAGTGAACACTAAAGGTTTTGGTTAGTTTCAGTTAGGTAATTTTCTAGCACATATTGAACGTCTATTCCTGCCTGAGTTTATTTTTTTCCAGGCTTATCCACAGGAATAAGAGATAACACAGCGTGGAGCAGGAGGAATATAGCAGGCCAGGCAGCATCCGAGGAACAGGAAAGTTGACATTTCAGGTCTGAAGAAGGGTCCCGACCTGAAACGTCAGCTTTCCTGCTCCTCTGATGCTGTCTGGCCTGCTGCGTTCCTCCAGCTCCACACTGTGTTATCTCTGACTTCAGCATCGGCAGTTCTTACTATCTCTTATCGAACAGAAATGTTGTTTTATTGGTAACTTTTCCATTTCTCCCTTAGCTGTAGTAGTCCCTTAAAGGAATCGCTTCAGGAAATTGGGTTGTAATATCCATAACTGTAAGGATATATCAGTGTCCTGCATTTGCATTCTGTAATGGTCCTACACAATGTAGTAACAATCAACTGAATCATTTTTCAAAAAATTTAAGTGTATTAAAGGTGCTAGTTTGATTACGTGTTGAGGTTTCCCGTTACTTGACATATATGACATCTTTTGCAGAACTGTACTACATTCTTATGAAGTCTTATTGAAATAAAATGTCTGTTGATTGATGCTTGGGCTTTTCATAATCCTATGTGTCCTAAAAGGAATTTCAGGTGTTACTCACATTATTTCCTTATGATATTTGAATGCTACCACTATTTAATTGACTGACTGTTCATTCCTCATCTGCAGGTCTATGAAGATGTCTCCATTTCTTCATTAGAACACTACTTGTAATATGATGACACACTAGAAATTCTTCAGCCTCAGCTTCAGTGTTATCTTACTTAACTCTGGCTTTGCTTTCTGAGCCTTAATTATCAACAACATTTCAAAGACTTCTTTTGGTTCATTCCGTTGACTTAGGGGTTCATGACCACAGTTACATAATATAGGCAGTAATGACTGTGATTTTCTGATTGTTTATTAAGTTTGTTAAGAAATGGTAGTTTATGATAGGTATGATACATTTTTTAGATAAAGAAAATGTTTAACTATAACAAGTGGGGATGGTTCACTGATACCAGAGGATAAATGAGCTTTCAGCGTGAATGTTTTGGTCTCATTAAAGTGATGGAGGGGACAGCATCCTTTCCTCTAGCTGGTGTGAGTGAACTCTTCACTTGGTCTTCCTGCACTCCTTGTGATCTGTCTTCCATTGGCCTGATAAAGACTATTCTCTGTGGACCATGTGATGAGAACTGCTGCCTAACAGGTCTGTTTGATGAGGATCCCTAAAAGGAGTCCTCTCTGGCCTGAACACTTATTGTTATATCTTATTTCTAGGGGCAGCTAACTTACTCTGTGTCAATCAATTGTCTGAACTGTTGGCCAATGGCCATGAAACAGCTATTCGTGACATTGGATAATCATTGTCGCCTTACCCGCCCTCATCAGAAGGTTAGTTTACAATTCTTTTTAAGAACAAACACTTTTTATTTTTGAAATTGACACAATGATAAAAGGGTGCATTTGGTGCCAGATGAATTATCGATACTAGTTCAACAGACATTGTGACTTCTGTGTTTTTATAATTCGTTCCCTTGTTTTCACGGGGATGTGTTCACCTAGTGGTATTATCAATAGACTATAAATCTAGAGACCCAGGTAATGTTCTGAGGACCCAGATTCGAATCCCACCATGGCAGATGAAGTTTGAATTCAAGACAAAAACAAATCTGGGGTTAAGAGTCTAATGATAACCATGAAATCATTGTCAATTATCGGAAAAATCTAACTAGTTCACTCATGCCCATTTAGAGAAGGAAACTGCCATTATCACCTCATCTGGCCTAGATGTGACTCCAGAACCACAACAATGTGGTTGACTCCTAACTGCCCAGGATAGGCAACGAATGCTGGCCTAGCCGATCACACTCACATCCTATGAATGAATAAAAAAAAGCTAGAATTTTGGAAAGTTAAGCACTGCTGTAATAGCTGTTAAATTACGTCTACTCAGTAAATGCTAAAGAAATTCAATTTCTAAAGTACCCCAATGTTCAATAATTCACATCCTTAAAGAAAGTTCTGGCTACTTTAACGTCATCTTCTGGCATTACTTTGACTTCTGGTGATGAGTTTTGTGGAGATACTGCTGTGGTCACCACAAATGATGGAGTACTTGTTCCCATAAGTGTTTTGTCTCGTTAGCTTCATTTGGACTTTCTATGAATGTCGGCAAATTTATATCTTTTACTCCAGCCAAATCATTTCCTGGGAGGAAGTCATCTTCATCCACTGGTGATTTTCTTAACAACACCTAAAACCACTGTTTTGTTCACAAGTCATGCTCAATTGCATTTTATGAAACAGAACTTATGCCATTTATTAACACTTTGGCTTTCATTGCATTCTCTGGTGACAAAACTACTTCCTTCTTCTGCAAAACAGTTTGAATAATTTCTGCGTATCTTAATATTATTATTGGTTTAGGTACACCATTTGAAGAAAAAGGGTTGACCTTTCTTTTTGGTAAAGCCATCTGTATTTCTCATTTTAATTTAATTGTTCTGCGCTCAGCAGCATTTACCTTCAGTTTCACTGTTATAGTTGAAGTTACAATTTGAGTTTATGAGTTCCTTTTTCAGGCTCACTCTGGAAAACCTCAGTAAGTCACATTAGCTGGGTGCAATGGAAAAAGGTTTATTTTTATGGGTCAGCTCATTATTGTCTGCCATTTTTGCTGGCTGTTCAGAAGTGTAACCCTCTGATCTTCACATGGGCTTGCCATACAAAAGGTAGTGAGTTTTCAAATTCTTACAACAAAATGATTTCTATGAGAAAGTCATGTGGGATATTTATTTCTAAGGCTTGTATCCATCTGTCAAAATTATTTTGCTTTATCCTTTCAAATGCAATACATGTTTGCACAGGATGTTCCCTTAGATTTTGAAATTTTTGCTGCAGGAACTACTAATACATGCTCAGAACAATCCTTTCTCTTGCATCATAATCCATATAAATCTCCTCTGACAGTCATGTATACATTTCAGGTGCTCAACCTGTCATCTTGCATTGTCTGGTTTTTCATCAGCCACTTCAATTGTTTTGCTGTCTTCTCAAAAGAATAAAGTATTAAAAAAACCCTCCAAACCATTTCCCTCAAATTTAGTTATAAATATTAGCATTTCCTTACTGAATTTTTAGGCTATGAGCGTAGAGAATACGCTCAAATATGTGAAATGCAAAGTTTCACTTGTCACATCATCCCTCCTCTACCACTCTATTATATATTTAATGGTTTGGTGTTGAGTGTTAGAGGCCAAGTCTTGCTTCCACTGTTTAAAGTGGTTACTTCTTAATTCCTACTTGCGCTCCAATCTCATTCTTCAGATCTTTTGCCATCCAGTAAGCAAATTGGGAGGGGGATGGTGAGCAGGTGACATGAGATCATTGCTCCAAAAGTGGCCATTAACAGCTCCAGCCATTGTTTGGGGCTTTGGGAGGGGGTGGTGGTGGCGGTGGGGGCGTGAAGTGATTATGTTGGTTGGACCACTTTGTTCAACTGTCTGCCTCTCATTTGTACTTCTGTCCATACATAGATGTTAATTTTAAATATGAGATAGAAAAATTTTTGTTAAGCAAAGCTATTAAGAGACATGGGCCAAAGGCAGACATATAGAGATCGGCCAGAGATCAGCCATGTTCCTGTTGAATGGTGGAACAGCTCAAGGGGCTGAATGTTCTACTCCTTTTCCTATGTTCCTATGTGTCCTTGGCAAGGAAGCATAAAATGTACATTGCTACATTTCAGGCATTCTGTGGAATTGATGCCAGAAGCGGTATTAGGGTTTGTTTCATCACTTTCCTTTGGCTTTACATTAAATTTGGATTTTATTGTTTATGCCTTGAAATAGGGAGTCACTTTGCTAAATTAATTTGTTCTGGGCACCTTAATTTGGGTAATAAAAAAATGTTTAGGGATTTGAGAAGGAGCAGGAAAGATTCTCAATTAAAGATTCTCCAGGATGTGGAAATCGAGTTATATATAAATAGACCAGAGAGGGTGGGCCTACTATCCCCGGAGAACATTAGGTTGAGATTTGATGGAGGTGTGTTCAAAATCAGGTCAGAACTGGAAAACAGATAAGAAATAGTTGTTCTCAGAATCAAGAATGAGAGGACATAGATTGAAGGCAATTGGCAAAAGAAGCAATGAATTCAAGCAGTGCCTGGTTGGTATCTGGTATGTGCTGCCTGAGAGTATGGTGGCGACAGATTCAATCATGCCATCCAAGACATGCTTAGCATCTGAAAGGGAAGAATGTTTGGTTAGATTGGGAGTAATCCCCCACTGTGATATCTTTATTTACATTCACAATTTCCTTTGATATTTTGGTTTTCATTACAGTGCCCCTGGAGGAGGGAGGGTACATGCCTCCTAAGTTTGTTTGTGCAGGTCAGTTTTAAAACAGAAGGAAAGGTCAGGTATTGGCAACAAGTTGTTCATTTGGAGATCTGGTGTGCAGTCATCTGATGGGCTGAATGGCCTTTTTTATGCCGTTTCCCCATTCTTTGGCATTCTCAAAGCGCAGATATACAGGGCCCAACCCAAGCTTTAAGGTACTGAAAACCACCAACTACAGATCCTGGAGATCCGAGACAAAAAAGCAGAAATTGCTGGTGAAACTCAGCGGGTCTGGCAGCATCTGTGAAGATAAAAATAAGCACTTCACAGATGGTGCCAGAACCGCTGAGTTTCTGCAACAATTTCTGTTTCAGATCCTTCTTCAGAGCTGGGCTCGAAACGTTTAACTCTTTTCTTTCTCTCCACAGATGCTGCCAGACCTGCTTGAGTTTCTCCAGCAATTTCTCTGTTTTTGTATCAAGCTCTGGTGTCTTTTACACCCACTAGTACTCAATCTGCCTGGATGTAGAGGGAGGGGGAAGGAGACATGAATCAGTGCCCCCAACAGAGAGGGGGGGATTAGAGCAGCCGTGGGGGCGGGGCTGAAGCTGTTTTTTTGTGAATGGAAGCTTGGCGCCCTGGCAGCTGATTGGCCAGGAAATGGATACCTTGGGAGTTTCGCTGCACCCGGAAACAGGCGGATCCGGCGAGAGGGAGGTGTGTCAGTGCGGGGCTAATATCTCACCTCCCTTCCCCAACCCCCTCTCCTTCGTCCTCAGTGTCTGCAGCATCCTCTTCCTCAGCCCGATGGCCAGCCGCCTCCTCCTGCATCGCCTCCCCTTCCTCAGGTTTTCCTCCACTTCCGCCGCCGCCGCTCCCCCGAAGCAGAAGGAGCCTCCTCGGGACCGCAGCCGGCCCTGCGTGACCCACAAGGGGAGCGTCCGCTCGCAACCGCCCGCTGCTCCCGGCTCCACCGCCGCTGTCATCCCGGATTTCGGCAACTACCGTGAAGCGTATCGGAGCAAGAGCAGCGCGGAGCTGGTGCGGAGCCTGCTGGTGTTCCGGCTCTGCTCGTACAGTGTGATAGTGGACCGGCACAAGGAGGTGAGGAGCGAGAGGGATCTGTAATAACTGGGGCTTCAAAGTATAAACGTAAGATTCAGCGAGTGAATATCTAGAAGGCAAGAAACTCTGCAGTGCAATATTTACAGTCCAGAACACAAATTGAAAGAAAACTACTCTAGATATCAGCACATTCGTTGTCACTTGTTCTTCCCCCCCCCCATTTGCCTGATTTACTTTCAGCTTCAAGAAATGTTCCGGGTTTCCTGGAAGCAGCCCCTCCTTCGGATGGCGCAGACCCTTCTGAATGGTGCAATCTCAGGCACACCCACATGACATAAAACATGGTCTCAAACATCCCGAGAAATTCAGCTTTTCTCCCTCTCCAACACCGAATCTCTTTCCTTCATCGTGTTTTGTTTTCCTCCAGCGAGTTCCAAGTGTCAGGAGTTTATATTATCCGGTCAAGTTGGGGCTGGGGGCTGGGGGCTGGCGGCGTGGAAACCATAAACTTGCTATTAGATTCGGGAGTGAAACAATGAGCTGACCGTATCCGAAGTTTCAAAATTATGAAAGAATTTAACAGTTGGTCGATCCCACTTCCGAAAAGTTGAAACCTCATAACGCTTAAGATATGTAAATTGGGAATAAAAATTGATGACCTTTATCTAGTCTAGAACGGAACAAATCCTGAGTCAATTCATCCTCCTGAGTCATTTGTTGCTAAAAGTCTCTGTGTTAATTATTCTCTGCTGCATTCAGAATTATATTGTCATACACGTACCTGGGCTCTTTTGCCACAGTGGTAGTGTGCCTGCCTCTGCACTAGGCAGTTTAAGGTTCAAAACTCACCTGCTCCAGTGGTGTGTGATAACATGTTGAACCGGTTTGATTAGAAAATAATAGAAACAGGCCCATCAGCCAATGGCTGGAGGTGGAATCAGAAGGTTTTGTGTAGTGCCCTACCTCCTGGGGCGTGGTCTGCAAGTAACAGCGTTGATTGATGAGAGAGGCCTGTGGACAATAATGCTGGCAGGAAGGCATAAATTGGCATGTGACCACACTGGCTTCGGGGAGGGAGATGTTGGGGAAGTGGGCAATATCACTGGAGTGATGAGGTTGGAGAAGCAGGCAGCGACACTGGATGGTTGGGAGGGAATGCTTTGGAAATGGGCAGTGACTCTGGCTTTAGGGGTGTGGGGGTGTGCATAGCTGAGGGCAGCACTGGCCTCTGACATACATATGTGGGCCAAAAGCTCCCTAGTAACTCAAAAAGAGTGCCTGTTGGCATTAGTCCTACTGATTCACTGAAGAAAAATGTGGAATGCATCTTCATCAATTTCTTTGTATTGTAGATCAATCTTATTTTGCTAATGTTGCTGGGGCATGAGATGTATGTCCTCTTGGTGGGTCTGTTGATTGTGTTAGTGAACGTTTGTTTGGAATTTGAAATGTGCAGTGATTTGCTAATCCAGTTGTTGTTTGGCTAGTGTTGTTTGACGCTATTTGGTTATTCTTGCAGCTCATCAATCTCAGTCGGTTCTTGCTTGGGAAATGGCTCTTCGAGAAGGTCATGACGATGACTTTTTATGGACAGTTTGTGGCTGGAAAGGACCAAGATGACATCAAACCCTTGATCCAGCATTATCGCTCCTTTGGAGTGGGGTCCATTCTAGATTACAGTGTTGAGGAAGACTTGACCCAAGAGGAAGCGGAGAAAAAAGAAATGGAGTAAGTCAGTTTCAAATCACTATAGATTAGAACAGAAAAGGGACAGTATATTGGGGGAATTGTTCAGTGATGGCTCATAGCCTGTCAATGATTGATCTGGTACAATGATTTGATTCAATTTATTGTTATCATGTGTACCCGAGTACAGTGGAAAGTTTTGTTTTGCATGCAGATCATAATGTACAAAGATCATAGGATGATTCAAAAGAGCAAGGAACATAACGTTACGGTGGCAAAGAAGATGCACAAAATGCAAGATCAACATTAGATATGAAATTTGAGAGGTCCATTAACAGCAAGGAAGAAGCTGTCCTTGAACCGTTGGTACATGTTTTTAAGCTTTTGCATCCTTTGCCTGACGGAAGAGGTTGGAAGAGATTATAATGGGGTGGGAGGGGTCTTTGTGAAATGATAATGCACTCTTCAAAGCTGATGTAATTTCTTCAGTGTTGGACTTGGTTACACTCAATTAATTTTCCCGATCTAATGAGACTAGTCATGTTGAAAACACAGGAAGGAGATGTTTTGAAGTGTGTTTCTGGGAGTAATTGAGTCAGATATGTGAATATTGTTCACGCCGATATCAATAATAGTCAATTCCAACAAAGTACGTTCTAAGCACTACTATTGACGTGCCCCACCAATAAGTAACTTCTGAAAGTATGACTATCTCTGCTTGATCATATGATGACTGGAATTTTTTTGCGTCGTGTGTTCTGTGTTGGCTAGTAATATATAGTTCATATGACCTTATCAAACTAGTGTCCTTGCACTGTGTTCCAGCATTTGATGAACCTTTATCGATAATTAACACTGGAAATTTACGAGGAACAACTGATAGACACAGCTGTATCTTTTGCATCATTACTAGTGAAGTTTCAAAATAGGACTTATTGTTTACAAATATTATGTTTCAGTTTTCAGTACATTAGACAAAGTTAAACTCCATTTACTGTTCCTGATTGTTTGTTTGTTTGTTTGTTTGTTTGTTTGTTTGTTTGTTTGTTTGTTTGTTTGTTTGTTTGTTTGTTTGTTTGTTTGTTTGATTAGTAATTAACCTGGCTGAGTAAACAACAGTTAAAATCTGCTCTATGTATTCACCATTTGGAGTGCAGTGTGCTGCCTGCATGGTGACTAGTCCCAAATATGTTTGTCCTACCTTGCTCATCGAAAACATGTATATATGCTAGTTTGAAGCTTTGTGCTGCACATCATCCAGCTTTAGAGGCCGCATGTGGGCTTAAATATTTGCAACAAGGGGTCGCAGAGGTCTTACGCAACAAACAACTGCACCTCCCAGTCGCGAACCATTTCAACTCCCCCTCCCATTCCTCAGACGACATGTCCATCCTGGGCCTCCTGCAGTGCCACAACGATGCCACCCGAAGGTTCCAGGAACAGCAACTCATATTCCGCTTGGGAACCCTGCAGCCCAATGGTATCAATGTGGATTTCACAAGTTTCAAAATCTCCCCTCCCCC